TCTGATAGCCATTTACAGTTTTACTCAGTGACCTTGCTTGGGCTAAAAATTGCTTTTTTTTAAAAAAGTTAAGCACCTATCTATAGCTGATGAATTAGAACATACTTAGAATGAGCCTGTTTTCTTGTCGCTGCCTACAATGTCCCCTATTTTTGTCCCCTGGCGAATTTGGACAAGTAATCTTTTATCCCATTGGTTGCACAGTTAAAGCTCAACACAGGTCCTTGTGGGATCACAACAGGGATCCTTCCAATAATTACTGGAGAATCAGTTCGGTACAACAGTCCACTTTTATTATGTTATTAGTTTGACAATGGTATTATTAAAGGCCAGGACACACACAAGAGGTTTCCACATGCTGTATGTCATTGTTAATTTTGAATTTGGATTCATGCTTCCCATTTTGCTTACATTGGAATCATTTGCAAATCTGTGGTACTTTGTTTTAGGTTAATTAAAGGGTCATACATGAATATTTCATAATTACATTATTGCTCATGTTTTCTGATTAATTATTAACTCAAGCTGTTGCAATTGATTACTCTTTTACCAACATACTTTTCAGAAAGCTAATTAAAAGAAAACATTTCTTTCTGTCAACTTTGCCCTCATAAAGGTGAGGGATGTTACATCTGGGAATAGAATGTTTTCTATCCAGGCACCAAGTGTCAACATTAAAGCACATTCCAAGTTGTAGCAGTTGTAGCATTGTTAGATGTAAAGGCAAGCTGATTCCATTCTGTCTGAACTGCATGCTTTTTTCTACCGATTTCAGAAATATGTTCTGATTTGTAACAATATTTCTTTATCCACTTCTCAGACCAGCCCTCCTGTCTGGGGCCTTAACTATTTAGGTATACAAATTCAGCCCCTGTGCCCCAGTACACACCAGGAGTGTATGCTGTGAAACTGCACACACACATACCTCATGATTTTTCATCCATTAATCTTAGTGAATTGATTATTATAAATTGATGCATTAATTTTATGTACTCCCAGTGCTGTCACCAAGTTTTTAGTCCTTAACATTGATGAATATCATATCGAGGGCAGTCTTTGAGTATTTGGTCCATACTTAGCAATGAACCTCTCATGAAAATGAAGGAATGGCAGAGAGATTGAAAGAGTACTTGCTCTCAGTTTTCACAGAACGGCATTATATTAGGATGAAAGAGTTCAAATGGAGATACCAAGTAGAGCCGTGGAGTCATGCAGCACTGAAGCAGACCTTTCAGCCCAACTCGATCATGCTGACTTGGTTTCCTAAATTGAACTAGTCCCATTTGCTTGCATTTGGTCCTTATCCCTCTAAACCCTTCCTATTTATGTACCCATCCAGATGCCTTTTAAATGTTATAATTGTACCAGCCTCCACCACTTCCTCTGGCAGCTCATTCCATACACACACCACCCTCTGTGTGAAAAAGTTGCCTCTTAGTTCCCTTTTATATTTTTCCCCTCTCACGTTAAACATGTACCCTGTATTTTGAACTCACCTACCCTGGGAAAAATACCTTGACTATTCACCCTATCCATGCCCCTCATGATTTTACAAACCTCTATAAAAGTCACCCCTCATTCTCTGACCGCTCCAGGGAAAATTAATCCCAGCCTATTCAGCCTCTCCCTATAGCTCAAACCCTCCAACCCTATAAATGTTTTCTGCACCCTTTCAAGTTTCATGACATCCTTCCTATAGCAGGTCAAACAAAATTAATGCAGTATTCCAAAAGTAGCCTAACAAAAGTCCTGTACAGCTGCGCCATGACCTCCCAACTCCTGTACTCAATTCACCGACCAATAAAGGCAAGTGTACCAAATGCCTTCTTTGCTATGCTATCTACCCACGACTGCACTTTCAACGAATATGTCTTCCACACCTAAAACAATCCCACAAAACTCAACCTGAAAGAAGGAATTTTTCTCATCACATTCCTGACTGCTATCTATAATTTCTCCTTTACTCTACTGCCAAGGCATCAGGTTCTTTTCCTTCATCACATTTCACTGATTTTCACTTCCTTTTCTTGAACGATGCAAGTAGTGTGGGCATATAGTTTCACAAGCTGTCCTAACCCTTGGGTACCTCACTTAAGCAGTCAGTCCTTATTTAGGAGCCTAACTGATATCAGAATACACAGCCTAGAGAGCTAAACCTGAGCCTCTGCTTCCTAAATAGCCACTAATATTCCACCATTCCACCATGGGCCAATGAATAGCAATCAAAGGCCATTCAACTGGCCAGTTTATTTTCCTTCCAATGGGAGCACTGCATTTACCCAAATGCTGAGGTCAACTAACTTGGCACTCCCACTGGATTAATTCGAGTGTTTTATGCCTCATTGTCACATTAGGTAATGCATTCAACCTTCAGGACAGCATTTGATTCTTAATTTACAAGCTGATTAACTTGTGTCAGAGCAAAATGAATTAACACTGCTTTGAAAGTCACAGCAACGGATCTTAACTAAGCTATATAATAAACTCAGCATCCCTAGCCTAGGATAGATTCCTGTTGATCACTCTGCCACTGCTGATCATTCACATGCATGGACATTAAGTTAGGGGAGAATGGTTGAGGAGCTAATTTCTACTGTATACAACTGCCCAAGCCATTTCATTCAGAGCTTGCAAAAGAGAGAGCTGTCTAATCAATCTTTGCTTTATACCAATGCAGGCGACATAGGCGAAAGTTGAATAATATTTACTCAATATGCCATCTCACCCTCACTCACAACGGTGGCTTTCAAACTTATATAAGGATACAAAATGCACTGCTTTTGACCAGGATATTAAGATTGATAGAACCCAAGATTGGTAAATGGTATTTGGATGCAGGGCAGCCACTTAAATGAATGTGGAACAAGCTTGAGGGGCCAACTGAACACTACTGGTTCTTACAATGTTCCTGACCATTCAGAATCAAATAAGGAATAAAAAGGTGGGCATCACAATTGTTCACTTAAACATTTAGAATTCAGCAAACAGTTTTGGTCTGCATTGCGGTTCAGAGAAGATTTACTCATTTGATCCCAGGTATGGAAGGATTTTCTAATGAGGAGACACTGAGTAGGGTAGGCTTATATTTAATGGAGTTTAGCAGATTGAGAATAGGCCTTATTAAAACACATGAGACTCTTTGAGGATTTGACAAGGTAGATGCAGTTTGTTTCCCCTTACGGGAGAATCAAGGACTAGAGGGCATAATGTCAGGGAATGTGGCTGCCCATTTAACACAAAGATGAGGAGAAATTTCTTCTCTCAGAGGATTGCGAATCTGTGGAATTCTTTACTGCAGAAGGCTGTCGAGGCTGTGACACCAAGATTCTCAAGGCTGAGGTGATAGGTTTTTAATAAGTAAGGGTATAAAAGGTTATAGGGAAAAGGCAGAAAAGTGGACTTGAGAATTATCAGATCAAGCATGATCCCATTGAATGATACAGCAGACTCAATGAGCCAAATGGCTGATTTCTGTTCCTACATTTTCGGGTGTGTAAAACTAACTGGAATTTGCCACATAGGCTAAAACAACTCCCCCATGACAGGCATACAGTTTATTTGTATTCACTTTCGACTTTTAAGTTAATAGCAAAAGCGTTTTAAAATGGAAGCTTTTCTTGCATTCATTTTAAAATTGGAGGCCGAAATGTTGCTAACTGGGAGAAACAGGCAAGTTATTATTCACAAAGGGCAGCACAGTGGCTCAGTAATTAGTTCACAGCGCCATGGACCCGGGTTTGATTCCAGCCTCGGGTGATTGTCTGTGTGGAGTTTGCACATTCTCCCTGTGACTGCGTGGGTTTCCTCTGGGTGCTCCGGTTTCCTCCCACTGTCCAAAGGTATGCAGGGTGGGTGGATTGGCCATGCTAAATTGCTTATAGTGACCAGGGATGTTCAGGCTAGGTGGGTCAGACATGGGGAATGCAGGGTTACAGGGATAGGGCAAAGGGTTGGGTTTCGGCAGGATGCTCTTTGGAGGGTCAGTGTGGACTTGATGGACTGAATGCCCTGCTTCTACACTGGAGGGATTCTATGAAATTAGGAAATAAAAATCTCTTTTAGAAGCAGATGTATAATTAAAATACTAATACAATGTCTTAAAAATTCAACAAAATATTAAATTGCCCCCTCAAATCACCATAGAAAACTCTTTGGCCATATTTGAAGAGTAAGAGAATTCCTGCCCAATGTCAATGAAGCTGTCACCAGCTGAAATAGATGTCTGGTCATTTATAGACTCATAGAATCATAGAGTCATACAGCATGGAAACAGACACTTTGATCCAACCAATCCATGCGGAACATAATCCCAAAGAGCTCTAGGGCGGGTAAGAGGCCTGCAGAGGGTGCCCAAGAGGAGAAAGAAGAGTGGAGGGGGGAGAAGGGGTCTCTGGACAGTGATTGGGAGTCTTTATCAAAGCAGGAGGTAGGGAGCTAGAGGCGGTGGAAGAGGAGCTCCACATTGTGGCAGGCACGGAACTCATTGATGTAGGGGTGGAGGGGCATGATTGTGAGCCCTTAACTGAGTGCAGACCGTTCGGCCTCAGAGAGTTTGAGGTCGGGGTGGGGGGGGGGGGGGGGGGGTGTGGTTAATATGTGGCGAGGTTCCAGGGTGGAGTTTTGGGGGATCTCGAGGAGGCTGAAGGAGGGGAGGGGGAAAGGGCAATAGCAAGGGATGGGTGAGGATTGGACATGGTGTGGTGGGGGGGATGGAAAGGAGAGTGGGAGGGCAGTTGGCTGGGGAATGGGATGGAGGATTGGATGGGAGTAGGGGTGTGGGAGAGATGAGGTAAAGAGGACGGAGGAGAGGTGGATGGTTGGGATGTATTGTGGGGGTGTACAGGTGAGGAGGGACAGATGCGCTGGCTAGCTGCAGGTGGGCAGTAGGACCCAGGGCTGACCCTGGGGGTAGGAGTCCATGTGTTGATTGGAGAGTGGGCGGAGTCTGAAGTGGAGGTGGAAGTTTCACGGAAGTTGAGGCAGGTCCCAGTCCTTTTGCCATTGGAATCTGAGGCAGCGTTTGTGGAGTTGTCTGGAGCAGAGATGGAGGTTGAACGTGAGTTCCTGTGGGTACCGGTTGATGTTTGCAGAGTCTCAGGAGCTGGACTGGTGCCGGAAGTGGCATCCGAGTGGGAGGTAGCACAAGACCGGAGACACCCAGTGCTGGAAGAGGTCTGCATGTGCCTAATGGCCGCAACAGCATGGGTGGCCTGCAGGTGGCAGCAAACAGGGCTTGGATTTTGAATGGTGAGTGGTTGACTGGAGGTGAGTACAGGACAGTCTTGCAAACTTATGATTTTTAATGTCCGATATGAAGCAGAAAAATCGTTTGTTGAGCGTGTGGATCTGCATTGAATATAGAGGAGTAGAGGTCCTCCGCAAGTTTGGGAAAGGGAGGTCTTGAGCTGATGGAGGGATGAGGAGAGGGAGTGGAGTTGCCGGTGCATTTCAGAGAGGGTTGAGCAGAGAATCCAGAGACAGGATTGTTTCTGGAGGCATTGAAGGTGTTGTGAGTTTGGAGCATCAAAGGTGGGTCCAAATTTTCAGTGATTAAAATGTATCTGTAGGCCTTGAGGGATGAGATGGTTGTGAAGACAGGAGCTGAGGAATGTCATGGTGTTGTTGAATAGCTGAAGGGCTGAAGAGGTCACAGCAGTGTGGTAGTGAAGAAAGGTCTCACTCAGAGGGAGGCAGAGAACTTCTTCAAAGTGGGCTTCCTTTGAAGAGACTTTGCAGTGGTATAAACTTGGTTAGAGACAAAAAAGCTGCAGATGCTGGAATCAAAGGTACTTTGTTGATTATGTCAAACAGTCTCTCTTCAGTACATACACCGGCACTGTTCCCCAGCTTTTCCGCCCTTACATCGATGACTGCATCAGTGCTGCATCCTGCACCCAGGCTGAACTGGAGCAGTTCATCAACTTCGCTAACAACTTCCACTTGGTCATCTCAGACACCTCCCCTCCCTTTCTTCGCCTCTTCATTTCCCATTTCTGGCAACAGTTTACAGACTGACATCTACTAAAAATGCACAGACTTCCACAACTACCTAGATTACCTCTTCTCCCACCCTGTATCCTGTAAAAACTCCATCCTTTTTTCCCAATTCCTCTACCTCCATTGCATCTGCTCTGACCCACTCCTAAGCATCCTGGAAGTCCTCCTTTAACAAACAGCTTCTTGTCTTCCCCTCTGTTATCCAGACAGCCCTCCACCATTCCTCTTCCATTCCGCACTCCACAGCTCTAAACCACATCCCCCTCCAAACCTAATACAGAGAGGGTCCCCCTGTCCTCACTTTCCACCCCACCAAAAACGTATCAACCTCAAACACTTCAGCCAACTCCAATTAGACCCCATCACTCTGTCATCAGTAAGGGTCCAAACATTCCTGTTTTTTTGTGGAAAGACTAGATCATGTATCATCATCTGCAGCAAAGAGCTTTCATCAGCTAGTGGTGCATTGTGGTCTTGAAATTCTGACCATCAAAGATTTTGCCTCTGTCACCTGGGTGAGAGAGCAAGTTTGTAGAATCCCTACAATGCAGAAAGAGGCCATTTGGCCCATTGCGTCAGCACTGACCCTCCCACGCACTCCAAAATTCTTGATATGTGAACATACGAGCAAATGAATTAGAATCATGGAATCCCAACAGTGCACGTAGAAGCCATTCGGTCCATCAAGTCTGCACCGATCCTCTGAATAGCATGCACCTAGATCTACCTCATTCCTGTAACTCCGCATTTAGCATGGCCAATCCACCTGACCTGCACATCTTTGGGCTGTGGGAGGAAATCCATACCGACACGAGGAAAATGTGCAAACTGCACACAGTCACCCAAGGCTGGAATCAAACATGGCTCCCTGGTGCTGTGAGGCAGCAGCACTAACCACTGTGCCACCCCAAATTAAGAGCAGAAATTGACCATTTGACCCTTCAAGCCTGCTCTGCCATTCAAAGAGATTATGGCTGATCTACTTATGTTTCAAATTCCATATTCCCATCTATCTCCAATAACTGTGAATTCCTTTGCCTAACAAGAATCTGTCCACCTCTGCCTTAAAAAAAATTGTAATGATCCCACCTCCATTGCATTCTGAGGCAGAAAGTTCCAAAGTTAAGCAACCCTCTGAGAGAGAACATAGAACATAGAACATTACAGCGCAGTACAGGCCCTTCGGCCCTCGAAGTTGCGCCGACCTGTGAAACCAATCTGAAGCCCATCTAACCTAAACTATTCCATTATTATCCATATGTTTATCCAATGACCATTTAAATGCCCTTAAAGGTGGCGAGTCTACTACTTTTGCAGGCAGGGCATTCCACGCCCTTACTACTCTCTAAGTAAAGAACCTACCTCTGACATCTGTCCTATACCTATCACCCCTCAATTTAAAGCTATGTCCCCTCGTGCTAGCCATCACCATCCGAGGAAAAAGGCTCCCACTGTCCACCCTATCTAATCCTCTGATCATCTTGTATGTCTCTATTAAGTCACCTCTTAACCTTCTTCTCTCTAACAAAAATAGCCTCAAAACCCTCAGCCTTTCCTCATAAGACCTTCCCTCCATACCAGGCAACATCCTGGTAAATCTCCTCTGCACCCTTTCCAATGCTTCCACATCCTTCCTATAATGCGGTGACCAGAACTGTACGCAAGACTCCAAGTGCGGCCGCACCAGAGTTTTGTACAGCTGCAACATGACCTCATGGCTCCGAAACTCAATCCCTCTACCAATAAAACCTAATATACCGTACGTCTTCTTAACAACACTGTCAACCTGGGTGGCAACTTTCAGTGATCTATGCACATGGACACCGAGATCTCTCTGTTCATCCACACTACCAAGAATTTTACCATTAGCCCAGTACTCTATATTCCTGTTACTCCTTCCAAAGTGAATCACCTCACACTTTTCCGCATTAAACTTCATTTGCCACCTCTCAGCCCAGCTCTGCAGCTTATCTATGTCCCTCTGTAACCTGCAACATCCTTCCGCACTATCCACAACTCCATCGACTTTGGTGTCATCCGCAAATTTACTAACCCATCCTTCTATGCCCTCATCCAGGTCATTTATGAAAATGACAAACAGCAGTGGCCCCAAAACAGATCCTTGAGGTACACCACTAGTAACTGAACTCCAGGATGAACATTTCCCATCAACCACCACCCTCTGTCTTCTTATAGCTAGCCAATTTCTGATCCAAACTGCTAAATCACCCTCAATCCCATGCCTCTGTATTTTCTGCAATAGCCTACCATTGGGAACCTTATCAAATGCTTTACTGAAATCCATATACACCACATCAACCGCTTTACCCTCATCCACCTGTTTGGTCACCTTCTCAAAGAACTCAGTAAGGTTTGTGAGGCACAACCTACCCTTCACAAAACCGTGTTGACTATCCCTAATCAAGTTATTCATTTCTAGATGATTATAAATCCTATCTCTTATAATCCTTTCCAACACTTTACCCACAACCGAAGTAAGGCTCACTGGTCTATAATTACCAGGGTTGTCTCTACTCCCCTTCTTGAACAAGGGGACAACATTTGCTAGTCTCCAGTCTTCTGCCACTATTCCTGAAGACAATGACGACATAAAGATCAAAGCCAAAGGCTCTGCAATCTCCTCTCTAGCTTCCCAGAGAATCCTCAGATAAATCCCATCCGGCCCAGGGGACTGATCTATTTTCACACCTTCCAGAATTGTTAACACCTCCTCCTTATGAACCTCAATCCCATCTAGTTTAATAGCCTGTATCTCAGTATTCTCCTCGACAACATTGTCTTTTTCCTGTGTGAATACTGACGAAAAATATTCATTTAGCGCCTCTCCTATCTCTTCGGAATCCACGCACAACTTCCCACTACTGTCCTTGACTGGCCCTAATCTTACTCTAGTCATTCTTTTATTCCTGACATACCTATAGAAAGCTTTAGGGTTTTCCTTGATCCTACCTGCTAAAGACTTCTCATTTCCCCTCCTGGCTCTTCTTAGCTCTCTCTTTAGGTCCTTCCTGGCTAACTTGTAACTCTCAAGCGCCCTAGCTGAGCCTTCATGCCTCATCTCTACATAAGTCTCCTTCTTCCTCTTGACAAGAGATTCAACTTCTTTAGTAAACCACGGTTCCCTCGCTCGACCACTTCCTCCCTGCCTGACAGGTACATACTTCTCAAGGACACGCAGCAGCTGTTCCTTGAACAAGCTCCACATTTCAATTGTGCCCAGCCCCTGCAGTCTCCTTCTCCATCCTAAATCTTGCCTAATCGCCTCATAATTGCCTTTCCCCCAGCTATAACTCTTGCCCTGTGGTATATACCTATCCCTTTCCATCGCTAAAGTAAACGTAACCGAATTGTGGTCACTATCACCAAAGTGCTCACCTACCTCCAAATCTAACACCTGGCCTGGTTCATTACCCAGTACCAAATCCAATGTGGCCTCGCCTATTGTTGGCCTATCTACATACTGTGTCAGGAAACCCTCCTGCACACATTGGACAAAAACTGACCCATCTAAAGTACTCGATCTATAGCATTTCCAGTCAATATTTGGAAAGTTAAAGTCCCCCATAACAACTACCCTGTTACTTTCCCTCCTATCCAGAATCATCTTTGCAATCCTTTCCTCTACATCTCTGGAACTTTTCGGAGGCCTATAGAAAACTCCCAACAGGGTGACCTCTCCTTTCCTGGTTCTAACCTCAGCCCATACTACCTCAGTAGACGAGTCCTCATCAAATGTCCTTTCTGTCACCGTAATACTGTCCTTGACTAATAATGCCACACCTCCCCCTCTTTTACCACCTTCCCTGATCTTACTGAAACATCTCAACCACGGAACCTGCAACAACCATTCCTGTCCCCGCTCTATCCATGTCTCCGAAGTGACCACAACATCGAAGTCCCAGGTACCAACCCATGCTGCAAGTTCACCCACCTTATTCCGGATGCTCCTGGCATTGAAGTAGACACACTTCAAACCACCTTCCTGCCTGCCGGTACACTCCTGCGACCTTGAAACCTTATTCATGACTTCACTACTCTCAACCTCCTGTACACTGGAGCTACAATTCAGGTTCCCATCCCCCTGCTGAATTAGTCTAAACCCTCCCGAAGAGCATTAGCAAATTTCCCCCCCAGGATATTGGTACCCCTCTGGTTCAGATGTAGACCATCCCGTTTGTCGAGGTCCCACCTACCCCAGAATGAGCCCCAATTATCCATGTATCTGAATCCCTCCCTCCTGCACCATCCCTGTAGCCACGTGTTCAACTGCTCTCTCTCCCTATTCCTCGCCTTGCTAGCACGTGGCATGGGTAACAAACCAGAGATAACAACTTTGTTTGTTCTCGCTCTAAGCTTCCACCCTAGCTCCTTGAATTTCTGCCTTACATCCCCATTCCTTTTCCTACCTATGTCGTTGGTGCCTATGTGGACCACGACTTGGGGCTGCTCCCCCTCACCCTTAAGGATCCCGAAAACACGATCCGAGACATCACGGACCCTGGCACCTGGGAGGCAACACACCAACCGCGAGTCTCTCTCGTTCCCACAGAATCTCCTATCTGTCCTCCTAACTATGGAGTCCCCAATGACTAATGCTCTCCTCCTCTCCCGCCTTCCCTTCTGAGCAACAGGGACAGACTCTGTGCCAGAGACCTGTACCCCATGGCTTACCCCTGGTAAGTCGTCCCCCCCAACAGTATGCAAAACGGTATACTTGTTTTTGAGGGGAATGGCCACAGGGGATCCCTGCACTGTCTGCTTGTTCCCTTTCCGTCCCCTGACTGTAACCCATCTACTTTTTTCCTGTACCTGAGGTGTGACTACCTCCCTGTAACTCCTCTCAATTACCCCCTCAGCCTCCCGAATGATCCGAAGTTCATCCAGCTCCAGCTCCAGTTCCCTAACGCGGTTTCTGAGGAGCTGGAGTAGGGTGCACTTCCTGCAGATGAAGTCAGTGGGGACACTAGTGGTGACCCTTACCTCCCACATTCTACAGGGGGAGCATGCAACTGCCCTAACATCCATTCCCACTGTTCTGAATTCCCAAACAGACTATTATAAAAAAAAACTAAAAAAACTAGTAGCCTTACCAAATCAGCGCTCAGAACCTTTTTTTTTGGTTAGAGGAGGAGGATGGGTGGGAGACACTACCTAGGTAGTGTTTCGGGTAAAGCAACCGCCCAAATATATTACCTCACTTACTCACTCCAAAAATGGAGTCACGCAAGGTAAGACTTTTATAATCGAAAAGCTTCCCTTCCCAGGCTGCCCTCGCGCTTCCTCCCGGACTCCCGCCGCTGAAACAACTGAAAATCCATTCATCTTTTTCCTGAAAAGGTGACATTTAATTTAAAAATGATGTTCCTCATCTGAACAAGGGTAAACATGCTTTCCACATCCATGTGATCTTTCCCATTGCCACAATTTAATGCATTGGAGATGTTTCAGTGGAGTTTTCCCAGGTTTATTAGCTGAAAAACTCAGACGACTGTGTTACTTTGGAAGTGTCTGTATCAGAAAGTAGCTCAAGCAGGGTTACTGAATATTGTTAAGGTGTAGGTATTTGTTAGATGAGGGAATCAAAGGAAGTATATGAGAATGAGGAATTCAAAATGCTAATAGAGAACCATGACCTTGTTGAATGATGGAGAAGACTGATGGGGCCAAATAGCTTACTTCTGCTCCTCGTGAAGTGTGGAGATGCAATCTGACTTACTTATTGTTCTTTCAATCTGTAACTAGGTTTAACAGCTCAACCGCGATTCTGAATGAGATCAGATAACTCAGTCCAGCCCTACAATCAAAGTAAAAGTGGTCATGATCTAAAGGGTTGAGTATCCCATTCTCTCTCTTACTTGTCTTTTAATAGACGGCTTAAATTTTACCTTTATGACCAAGTTTCCACCTGTCCTATCTAAAATGATCAGGTGTCCAATTTGCTGCCCTACCTCGGATAACAGAAATTGAACTAGTCATGTATTTATGCCTAGACATTACACGTTAACTAGGCAGAGTACAAAAAAGTGCAGGATGGAGAATTACAGGGGATGAAGGATGGCGGAATCAGTCTGATATTCCTTCCATTAAAATCAACGGTAACAATTTCCAATGGGCCTCCTTCCTGGATTTTGACTTTAACGAAGACAGGACCATTTCGATGAGAATCTTATTGAAATATTTGGCCTCCTTAAAGAAAATTGAGCAGCCTGCAAAACTGGAATGGAAGATGGCAACACTTCCATAGATCAAAGATGGCACCCATAGACATACAGTGAGAAGTGAAAGCCCAAAAAATATGCAACACTCTGCTGAAATTATGTCATGTGAGGCTTTTTTGAAGCCACCAGGGCCACTTACATGTCAAGATCAAATTGGTTAAATCCCCTTTGCTTACAGAATGCATTTCTCTTCTTAAGAATACCGTTCACCAAGGCTGAAAGAAGGGTTTTCAACAAATTCTCACCTGTGAATCCACAGAGGTAGCTACTACTCTCCAGGCAATCCCCCAGTACTCTGTAGTAAAATCCAAGGGGACATGAGCATCAACAGGAGAACTGTAACATGCAGTCAAATAGATGGTGTCAGACAATACCTTTGGCCTTGACAGTATTCCATCTGTGGTCTTCAAACCAGCAGGGCCTTTTGTTCACATCAAGTACCCGTGCGTTCATCCTAAAGATTTGGGAGGAAAATGACTCCCTTCACCACCCAGTCAAAAGTTTAGGAATGTGAAAATTGTAAATATCTTCAAGAACGTAGATAAGTCACAAGGTGGAGGCCAGTGGAGTACTTCCTCATTATGTATTGCAAGAAAGATTCTGACAAGCCTTCTTCTGAATTATTCACTTCCTGTGGCTGAGGAAATTCTCTCAGAAACACTGTACAGCCTTAGAGTGTCCAGAGGAATCTCCAGAGGAGTGTCAGAGGCAAAGATGAGTCAATGGACTCGAAACAGTAGCTCTGTTTTCCACTCCTTGGATTCTGCCAGACCTGTGTAGTTTCTCTGGCACTTCTTTGTTCCTTTTCTCAACCTCTGCTATACGTGGAAGGAGAGGATCTGGGACTTGCTGGGCACTTTTTCACCTTGGCAGCAGGTCCAACCAAAAGGCCTCTATTGTTATGGAGAATGAACACCAGATCAGTTGCAATAGCTCAGTCCTCTGCACACTATGGCAGCAGCTGTTTGACAATAAAGATCACTATAAACCAACAAAGACTGGTGTGTGGAGCAGTTGATGTTACCAATACGCCTGTATTGCAGTGAGAACTGGATTGTTTGTCAATAACACATTAGAGCTTGAGAGAAAACTCATCAGTTATTCCTCTGCCACATCCTCCAGTTTAATTTACCAAAGATCCTCAGACAGCACCTTCCAAACCCACGACTACTTCCATCTAGAAAGACAAGGGCAGCAGATACATGGGAGCATCACCACCTTCAAGTTCCCCTTCAAACCACTCACCATCCTGAATTGGAAACATATTGCTGTTCCTTCGTTGTCACTGGGTAAAAATTCTGGAATTCCCTCCTAAGGGTATTGTGGGTCAACCCACAGCAGGTGGACTGCAGCAGTTCAAGAAGGCAGCTCACCGCCACCTTCTCAAGGGCAACTAGGGATGGGCAATAAATGCTGGCCCAGCCAGCAACACCCACATCCCACAAATGAATAAAAAAATTGCAAGGGCCATTGAATAAATGCTCATGTCCTTCTTGAAAAAAAATCCCATAAACATTCAACTTTAACCCCTGCAAAATCAACTTCAATTGAGTGAACACTTTGTCCAGAAGGCGTAAGACATTTCCTCTGCAATGTTCTGTGCTTTTCTCAATTCTCAAATGGGCATCATTTCAAGGAAAATGAAAATATTTCAAAGACAATCTGAAACTCTCCATAAATTATAGTATCATGACAATTCATGACAGCGTGGAGTTTCCTATCAATCGTTCAAAATGTGGACAACTTATGCATTCTGCTGCACCACATTTTGAATTACAAAGTCTTCATGATGAAGCATCAGAGAAGGAAAGGATGAAAAGTCTACACTTTGGATCCTACTAACTCATGGAATAAACTACCCCATATGCCCAAATACCTTTGGGTCAAGAATCTATCTGTTCAGTGATACGAAGATCCACGGTAAAATCTCATGACCCTGAAGATGTCATTCACAAACTGAGGGACAGCAGACAGTATGATGGCTCAACTAGTTGAAATAACTTCACAGAAGCCCATATCCCATGACCAAATCACCTTTATTTACATGCAAAGTTCTTTACATAGATCTAGCTCCCTCAGAGCCAGCTCTCAGAGTGAACAGGAAGTCTGACACTCCTGTTTGTATTTGTCAGCCAGGGCTCCCTGATTGGCTGAGGAGGTGATGGCCTAATGGTATTATCACTGGACTGTTAATCCAGAGACCCAGATAATGTTCTGGGGATCCGGGTTCGAATCCCGCCATGGCATATGGTGGAATTCAAACTCAATAAATATCTGGAATGAAGAGTCGAATGAATCCATTGGAAATGGATTGTTGGAAAAACCTATCTGGTTCACTAATGCTCTTTAGGGAAGGAAACTGCCATCCTTACCTGGTCTGGCCTACATGTGACTCTAGACCCACAGCAATGTGGTTGACTCTGAACTGCCCTCTGGGCAATTAGGGATGGGCAATAAATGCTGCCCAGTCAGTGACGCCCTCATCCTGTGAATGTATAAGGGGGAAAAAAAAACAGCCCAAATCTGGGAACTCATATTCTATGAGGTCCACTTGGTTGACTTTGTTACAATCACTACACTAAGTCATCTTTCCTTGCCTGAACATTAACCTTCCCTAAGCAGAATAAGTAAAATCAAGAAGAGTGAATTGGCAGATACTGTTTGGTACTCCTTCCTTTAAAATCAATTATATTAAATTCCAAGGGGTACAGGAATGGGCCTGAACACCTCCTTCTGGACTTAGACTTTAATGAGGCTAAAAATCACAGAAAATGAAGAACCATTCCATTGAAGTAAATTGACTCTTCTTATTATTAAAAATTCCATTATCATGTCATTAAGTTGCTGTGTTTCAATGCTAAATATAAACTAAGCTCACCGCAAAAAAATTGTTCATTTCAACTTAAGTGCCACTGTAATAAATGTCCACTCTATCATTCATTTTTTTGGGTGCTAAAAACTAAATTTTACATATGTGGAGCCTCAATCCTTCACATTCTAAATTTACTTTTACAATTCCTTTCTGACATTTTATATCTTCTCTTTTCTCTTTTTTTTAATGGACATGATTTATTATTTAAATTACACACATTACGAGGCCATTCAGCTCATTGTGTCTATTCTGGCTCTCCACATGATTTAATTCTTATTATCACTCCCTTCACAAGAAGCACAGTTGATGATGAGTGGATGTTGACGTGAGAAGATGGTTGGTGAAGAAATCGTCATCTCAACCTTTGATTCATACATAAGGTTCATTGATGACCTTCCGGCCCTGTCACAATTGCAAGCCCTTCAGAGGAAAATAATTTCTATTTAAGGGTCACTCTTATTGCTGCTGGAATTCATCCAACCCGAGACAGGGGACTCACCATGCAGAAAATCAAAGCTGATTAGTTTACTTGTGGACTTCCAAAGTGGATCCTCATTCAAAGACACACCGTGCCCAATCGGGGATCCAACATTGGAAATTAAGATCCACTGAGAACTGCCATTCTGCCCTTTCAGCTGAGTCTTCTAACCCGTGATTCCACCCTGTGACCACTAAACACCCATCACTCACGTGTAGCCTGGGTTTCTCGATGATCCTGGGTTTCAGGTGGTGTGACATGGGCATCAAAAACCTTTGACAACTGGCCTCTGGTTGTTTATAATTTAATATAATATAATTTTCTCAATCGGTCTTTAGATTTTTTGAGGGCTACTTTTTGATCTTTGGGTGCTACTCTACTTTTCAGAGGCTCCTTTTTCACTTGCACTAATTCATTTATTAGATGATGAAATGATGTAGTAACATTAATTTCTCTATCTATTTCATTGTATGTAGTATCTGAACTCAAAAAAGCTGAATGACGAGAATTTTTCAATATCCTCAAAAATCATCACCATTCCATGAAATATAATATTTTCCTTATGAGTTGCACCTGCAATTCCCAGACTTCATCATTTAAACTGCCAAAAGACAACATGCATTTTAAAACAACTAAAATACGCTTCTATAGACAAAAAGCTATTACCCTGAACATGCTTTCTGTGGTATGATGACGTTACAGGTAGCGAGTTGTGAGCTTGGCTCTAACACAGCCACTATCCCTCAAAGCGGTTCACAATGTATAAAATGCTTTGAGATAACACATAGATGTAAATCCTTATGAAATAAAATTATTGATTAAATTCGTACAGTGTTGATTACAATAGCACCAACAATATTTTCCCTTATATCATTGCCCTTGAACATCTGAATCCTTAATTTAGAGACTCTATCTTCATCTGCAAGGAATTCATCAGCTCTCTGATATTAGGCTTTCCTCATTCCCATTTGGCTGAGTAGTTCTTTGTTAAAAGGTTTAAAACTGGTCACTCCAATTTTCAGCCACTGCCACACCTTTAGAGCCAGTGTCTCCCTGTTGTGGCCACAGCCTCCTCTCCAAGGTCCCTTACGCTCCTTTTCAGCCCATCACACCCATTAGGAACCTTCACTCACCCTTGGAACTGACCCCTTTGTGGGCAGTCACTCCCCATTGTAGCTCCTCTTCCCACTTTGTAGCCCTTCTCTTCCCCCCTTTCTAACCCCTCAAATTCCCTTGAGGCCATCACACCTTTTTGCAGACCCTCTCTCCCCTCTTCACAGCCCCCTACCTCACTCTCAGCTCCTACCACTCCTGTAAGTTCCTGCCTTCCCATTGCAGCTCCTCTTTCTTCCCAAAATCCACCCTTACAACCCTACACTGCCTTTTGTAGGTTCACTTCTGCCCCCTCCCTGATGGCAGAGCCTCTGGGCTTGGACCTGGGCCACACCACTTCTGACCCAATCAAATGCTGCTTCTTCGCTGCATTTAGTGCTGACAGTCTCAACCTGCAAATGGTGAAGGAGCTCTTATGTGTGCAACTTTTCAAATATATCCCCACTAAGTGTCCAGCACTTCACACGGGGTTACACTGCAAAGAAAATGTCTTTTAAGCAACTTTTGCAGAAAATACATAACAAAATGACTTTATCTGAAGAATAATGAACAAAGAATCCAAAATCATGACAATATTATGAAAATTCCCAAAGCTGTAATATAGGCATCGACTTGTTGTTTAAAACATTAGACTGCAAACATGCAGTCCAGTCACTCCATGATGATTATCGGCAACAATTTTAAAAGTTCAAGATTTTAGGCATGTGTGCAAATTGTCATTATCATCCACTCAAGACAAATGCCAAGTCTTCCTTCTGCAATGTGCAGCATTGGTTATTTGTTTAAATCAGGTGTCATCCTGAATTGGTATGGATTAGGTCATGTCTTGGATGTATCAAATGAGCAATTTTCTACGAAAACGAGAATTCCATTTATGAACACATTGACTTTGAGTTGTTACATTTCCTTCAGCTCCCAACCTATGTCACAATAAAAGCAGTGGTTATTAAACCTTAGTGTGTGATTGACCAAAAAATATTAATCATTGAAGACACAGTAACCAGAAGACATGAAAATAAGATAGTATGATTCAAGATTAATAAATCCGTCAGAGAATTCATTCGAAATTTCCTTCTTCAAATAATGAATCTGGAACATGCTACCACAAGGAATAGTTGAGATGAGTAGCATGTTTGGAAATAAATGTATGTTGGAGAATAGAATAGAAGGCTACGCTGATAGTGTGAGTTGAAGATGGGTGGAAGATGCAGATGATGAATGCTGGTAAAGAAAAAAAACAAAGAACTGCAGATGCTGACATAGAGCAGTTTTGTTGACGGATTTGTCTATGAATTGTATCATGTAATTCAATAAGCACTCAATGAGACAAGCCTAAAATAGAATCAATGTTCATCAGTTGACATTTCTCAGTTGTGGACTCTGTTTATGCTTCACAATGATATTTATGTACATAATAATACCTCATATGGGTAGATGCAAGGCAGTTGGGATCTCCAAAAGAAAATTTCTAAACCTGCAAAGTTACTACAATCACCAATTCAATAATCACGATCAGATGGATTTTGTAATGTTTTGGCAAGAGTGTGAAGTACTGCCCTCACAAATTTACCTTCTCTCATGGGATTTGAAAAAGCAGTTCTGATGACTGACTATGAATACAAAGGCAACCCTGACTATCATGTACCAACTGAAGGCAGAGCCTGGGCTGCTGGCTCTCTTGTACATGGTAAAAGCTTCTTGAGCTAATATTACGATGTCTCATGTGTTGCATTTTAATTATTAATGTGAATAACTGTGGGCATTTGTCCCTTTGCAGATTTGTTTGTATGCAAGGCATGTACACATGAACAATGAAAGCACAAATCCTGTCCAGAATACAGAACAGACCAAAACAGGCTCACTGGACTGGTGATATCACAGTACTACAACAGGGCATCATTGCATCGATACTTCAAGTGGATTGCAAATCCAACCATTTGTACTGGGTTGAACCTTGGAATTCATGAAATTTTCTTTATTGTATCAATTACATATGTGTGCTACTGATAAACACCATATAACAAACTAAGGAAATTCATAATGACGTGCTGTCATATTCATTGCGAATAATCATAGAATCCCTATAGTGTGGAAACAAACCATTTTGCCCATCGAGTATACACCGCGCCTCTGAAGACCATCCCACACAGACCCACCACCCTTACCTTATCCCTGTAACCCTGTATTTCCACGGCCAATCCAACTAATCTGCTCGTCCCTGGATACTGTGGGCTATCTGGCATGACCCATCCACCTAACCTGCACATCTTTGGATTGTGGGAGGAAACCGAATCAGCTGGAGAAAACCATTGCAAACACAGGGCAAACATGCAAACTCTACACAGTTGCCCAAGGGTGGAGTCGAACAAGGGCTCCTGGCAATGTGAGGCAGTAGTGCTGACCACTGAGCCAATAATACACTGCAAAATCCCAATCCTTCAATGGCAGACAAAGAGAAACTGAGAACATACTGCTGGTCGGAGTATACTCCTCAAGCTGTCTGGGAACTTGCCACTGTAGCCAAACTAGCAAGAAAGAAAAAGGAAAAGAGGGGTTAAAATGAACATGGGCACCTTGGAGAATGAGGCTGGGGTTAAAAAAAAATGCAGAACTAGGAAATAGCAAATACATTGCATTAATCTTGATGGTAGCATGCCAAATTTTACCAAATAAGCAAGATAGGAAATAAATACAATAACTATCACTGGAAAAGAGAGTGTGGAGGAAAATAAATGGGGCTAAAAAGCAAATCTCACTGTAAAGGGACATGCATTTGAGATGACAATGATGAGGAATTATTTATCGCAGAGTGTGGTGAATCTATAGAATTGTTTACTGCAGAAGGTGTAAAGGTTGGGTTGTTCAGTATATTCAAGGATTTTTTAAGGATCATCAGATTTTTTAACCAATAAGAGAATCAAGAGTTACTGGGATAAAGTGGATTTGACGATTATCAGATTGGCCATAACCTCATTGAATGGATGATCAGACTTGAATGGCTGAATGGCCAACTTATGCTCTTATATCTTATGGACAAATGGAATCACACTCGCAAAACCTTTTGTAATTTTAAGGCGCTCAATTTGGTGTTCCACCCGAATCAATGTTGCGTTTCATTCTCATGGGGAAAGTGGTTAACTAAGACAATGAAGTGCATCAAAGAATATCAAAGAAGAAATTATGAATAAGATTTCACCTTTTCAAACATTTTCTTCAATATGAATTGGAATTAATGTAAGTTAAATGTGAACAAACAGGCAAGCAACATTTCAAATAAAAGAATACATTTCACCTTAGCCAATTGATACAACAAAGGTATTCAATCACAAGCATCTACATTAAACCTCACACAGATGTGGATCCGAGAAGCTTTACAGTTCTACAGTGTGCTGTTTTTTATTCATCCGTTCGTTACTGATTTCATTCTTTCTGTTTTGTTCTTAATGTCACGCAGGAAATGTCAGGAGTCATATACCAAAAAGGTTTTTCATCTTTGAGGTTTGTGGATATGATTATCATCAGCAAGACAAGCCCTCTCTCTGTATTGTGTCATGACAGTCCTGTGGTGTCACTTTCCAGAGTTGAATTTCAATGACACATTGATAACACCATGATTTATGCTTTGGTTACTTATGAGAAAATATACAGGCCTTTAGCATCTCCAAGCTGTTCACCCAGTTTTAAAGCTTGTTAGAAAATTCAGACTACAAGCGTACCTTGCAGAATTTCTGAAAAACAGAAAAACTGGCCTTTTCCTGAAAGTAACTTGCTTCTTCTCTTCATAAGATTTTTTTGTGTTTGTCTTTTATTCTTGTGTATGCCTTATTATCTTGATTTATCAGCAGTTCTGCTTATAGCTATCCTTTGTTTCTGGAGTTGTCCTTGCTGTATTTCAGCCACTTGGCTTTTTTCTTAACTCATTGTTGTGCTGACTCCAGGCCAAGACTCACCAGACCACATAAACCAGTACAGATCAATTCTGAGGAAGGTCTCTGGACCAGAAACGTTAACTCTGATTTCTCTCCACAGATGCTACCAGACCTGCTGAGCTTTTTCAGCAATTCCTGTTTATGTTTCTTATTATCCAAGAAAATTAAATTTGATCATTTATAATTAATACTAAGTCCTAAAAGTCCTTTCCAAACAATTAGACATTCCAGATTTTTTTTTGTATTCTTCCAAGCCAGTCACAACTTTTAAGAACCCTCTTACTCTGTCACTAATTAATTGCACCATATCAAGTTCACTGCAACTTATTTAATTCAGACATTGATCATAAGTAAAAAAGTTAACTTATTTTAGAATTTCATTGCTCAGAGCATGCATTGGAATCATATGTTTTGCCATGAGGTAATGGTGTGATTCAATTGGACCAAATAATTTTCTTCCATTTCGGGTGACTTGTTGACAATTTACTAACATCCTTTAGTGAAGGAAACTTATGTGGTCTGGCCTACATGTGACTCCACCCACAAGAATATGGTTGAATCTTAACTATCTCCTGGCAATTAAGGAAGGACAATAAATGATGGCCTTGCTAGCGACGCCCTCATCTCCTGAATGAATAGGAAAAAATTCAGAATTTTGCACAAAACTTCCCATGCATCACATTTCTTTAAAGGTAATGTTAGATTGAATTTAGTGATTTTATTCCACATAAAGTCATGGGCTTATCAACCATACCCTCATTTAGTGAACTCACTGGGTGGAATCAAGTGGATGAGAGACTCAATCTGACTCTTCCAGAGAAGGTCCATCAACCCACCTGCCAAACAGGCATTGGCGAGGCCACCAGTAAGCCTTCTCCTGGAATCAAACCTCAGGGTGAATGCCCTGGCCAGTATGAGCTGCCAGTCAATCAGAGGCTGAAGGCTCATGTACTCATCAGCGCCATCATTAGGCTTGTGGCTACTGTCAGAGTACAGAATCACAGAGCTCTCAGGACAATGGTAAGTGAACTGAGAGGAGTGTTCAGGGGTTTGGTGACATCGGGAAAAGGGGCTAAGGGACGAGAACGTCAGATCAAAGGCAGGCCAATGACTCCCAGTGGACACCTCCATCCTGAGTCCAATGCCTTCATCAGTCACCTTTGAACGAGGCACTTTCCCACACTTGAGATAACAATCAGCCCACATGTGTGGTTTTGACCTGTTGTGCTTGCTGGTCAGCGTTCATCTGGGTTCATCCTCGCTGTGGCACAGATGTGGTCACCTAAGGGGATCAATTAGCAGTGGGGCAGGAGGATTTATCACCCTTGTTACCCAGAACTTAATTCTGGTGGAGGCAGGAAGACACCACCATTTTAGAGCACCACCATTATGCCTTATTTAGTGTCTTTCATGCTTCCAAGCATACCACTATTGGTCTATCTCCCCAATTGAATACTGTCTTAACCATATTCCTGCCTTTCTTTTTGCCACATGGGTGTGCTTAAAAAAGAAATTAGGCGGGCAAGGAGGAGACATAAAATATCTTTGGTATCTAGGATTAAGGAAAACCCCAAGGCATTTTATCAGCATATTAAGAACAAGAGGCCATCAGAGTTTTGAAAGGTTCATGCTGTCAGACTCAGAGAGGAAACGTAAAATTATCTTTACAGTTCAAGAAAGAGAAACAGAAAAGAACAGCTAAATGGAAAATTACAGAGTTTAGATATGTGTGTACTTGCTCTGGACTTGAATCATGGTAATAGACTGTTGGGAAGTAAGTTGAAATCTTATTTTGATGTTTGCGGAAAGGTATTGCTAACTGTCACTTACATATTCTAAATAGTTTTCATTTGCTTTATTTCTTCCGTGTAATAAACATATGTTCTGTTGTTCAAGAACATCTGCCTCGCCATGTAAATATATATCAGTGACTAACCGCTGTGGTTAGGTAACCCATGACCTCCAGGATCAATCCAGAAATATTGATCTCTTTTGAAGAGTATAGTTAAATATTCAAATTGTGGAAGCAAAGTTTAAACCTAGCCGCACTCTGCAATTTGCAAATTTCAGAGCTGGAACAGACACTATTCGTGTAGCCAGTCTTGGACAATCAACTTCCTGCAAAAACCAGACAGGTCTGGAACTGCCTAGCCAGATGCTAACAACCACATTGTTTCAGAATGAACTGTTGTTTACTCCTCCAGTCAAGATGCTTTGTTGGACTAACACTACACAGATTTGGTGGCATTCAGTTCAGTAGGCCAAAGGCATTGCATGACATGGATAGCTCCTGACAGTTGAATGTTCAAAATCATGTTGCCCAAATATGGAAAGTAGTCACCTCATCGGATTTTCCCGTCTCTATCAAATGCTAGTATTGGACAGAGGCCGCAGAATCTTTGAGAAGGGGGATAAAAGGGGCAACTTGGAGTCCCAGCTCACTCTGCCTTTACACCTTCTTCAATAACATCTCCGGAGAACACCTTCGACTGGCAGCAAGCTGTACAGTATCTCCAGCTCCTTGTACCTCATGACGAGCATCACTAGACTGACCAGACCCAAATAACCACCACAGTGAGATGACCCGACAACCAGAAGCAGTCCTAGATGAGAAGGGAAGCCCAAATTGATGACTGGAGGTCCTGAAGCATCAACAAACCCTCAAAGACGAGGAACAACCTGTCCCAGCCTTATTGAAGAAGAATTACCAGTTTTTGAAACAAATAGTTCAAATACTGTACTAGGGACCTCTGGATAGAGTGTAATGTATCCTCAGAAAGGAGTCTCAGAATTAGATAGCGAGTGTAGATTTGAAACTGTTCACTTAGAGATTTAAGACTATTTACTGAAAAGTCCTGTGAATAAATTGATAGAGTTTTGTAGAGTTTAATTAAAGTACAATAGTAAAAGTCCGATAACTATTGTTTGTCCTTGATAAAATGTTCAATAAGGTTGTGCTGGAACTTTCGACTCCTGTCCCCTTTGCCTATCTCTCTGTGTAATGTGCTTGATATAAAAAGGGTTACTGCAAACTGATCAAGGTTAATCAGGGTACATTTACACACCATTTCACTTTATAACACCACCATGTTAACTAATTGAACAGAAC